TATATTGCTCTCCGCCTTGTCAACGCGGATCATCTTATCTATCATGATGGTATTATATACTGTTCGCTAGTCTCTGTATTCCTGTATGCTGAGAAAATTTCTCAATATTGAGTTGTAGAAAACGTCGTCTTCCCGTTATAAGACCTTTTTTCGTACAAATTAAAATTTGCTTTCGGATCTAGGTAGCTAAATTGCACACTTAATTAAACTACATGACATGTTCCATCTTCTTCTCTATGGCTCCCTTGTCCATGGTAGACCATTCGTAGTACTGCTTGAACGTATCTCCTAGGAACTTTCCGAAGGTCACATCGCTACCATCCCATCTCTCAGCCAATGGCGGTACACGCGAATCTATAGTGACATAAACCAAGTTTACAAATTTATAGTTTTCAATGAATCGTTCTACATATACATTCCGTGTCACTCTCACTGCGAATTTGTACAACAAAGCGCGGCGAGCAAATTTACTTATAAGTACAGTCATCGTCGCTGATATATTAGAGACACACACACAAACACACAAATACATCGTCGCTGATGAATATATATATATCCAAAGATAAGCTGGCCACATAGATCTGCACCGAGTGAAGCGTACACGTACCATACCTGGGGCTTGATCGAATACCTGGTCCAGTGAAATTCCTTCAGGTCGTTGCAGAACATATCCTGGCAGTGCATCTATTTGACAAGGATGAAGAGTATGGGTCATAATCAAATGCATACGATATCCTGTAGTGAAGACAGATAGGTTACTTGTTCCACAGTTAGTTTGGTATTAATAAACTACTTCGATATATGCATAATAATTTTCGGAAGTAGAGAAACATGGTAAATACAGACACGAGTGTACCTACTGCAGATACAGTCTATTTTGACCTGATATCTGACAACACCCTAAACCCCTACAGCTGTCCCGAATAGAACAGCACATAAACATTCACACACACACACACACACTACAAACAAGACAACCGCACATAGATACACACTACAAACATGCACGGATGAGAAACATACACGTATACGATCACACGCATGCGCATAGGCACAAGCGCATATCAAAAGGGAATACGAACACCGGGAATGATATAACATACACTAGTACCAATATACAAAAATATGTACTATACACACAATATCGTACATAATCACCGACGTATCTACGAACACAGACGAACCGGGATAGACATATGTGCATGTAAACGCACGAACGTACCTACAAACACAGGGAAGGAGCCTTGGCCCACCTTAAGACCCTCGGGTGGTTCACTCGAGCGCACACAGTGGGGAGTAGCTACTAACAGTCCACCTGTAATGATTTGCAGACACTCACCACACTGCACACCCAAGTGATCGGCTGGGATTCTGGCAGAAGATGCAAGAATGGACTCACTTAGCTATGGTAGCTCCCACTGAACTACAGACCACGACCTAGAGACCACGACCACCAGCAGTCTATAAACCTATGCACAGAATTCACAATAAACCCCAGGATCTTATACTCACTTATCTTTGACGGTACGATATAGAGGCAAGCGTTGAGATTGATATGTCAACATGCATACTAGGGGTGTCCACATGATTTCCAACGGATGATGTATTCGTGCATGGATAACGCCTTATAGTAATGTGAATAATTGATGCTCTTGGCTCTGATTGTCCCTCCCGCTCAACTGTTGATATAGAGGCCACCGTTGAGATTAACAGTTCAACAAGTACATTGCAACTGACTATAAGATGTATTATTTGTACCACGTGAATTCTGGCACAATGTGTGTTTATGAACATATATCGATATAGAATAGTGTACCATACGTCTCACCTTGCTTTGATGGTACCTCCTACTCGATTGACGATATAAAGGTCTCAATTTGGGTCAGGGTTGGGAATCACCTCTCCAGTGACATCGTTGAAGAACAGCGCACTTGTAAGTGCCGTAAGGAGCCACTATCGTTGTGCCACCCAATCCAGTTATCCTATTAAGTACGTGTAAAATGAGTTACTTGACCTCTACAAAAAAAATGCATACTTGTACATATACATATACTTATACAAATACATATGCATATACAAATAAATATAATTCTACATTTAAATATATATATATATATATAACATAATTGTTTAAACTTAGTAGTGTCGATAGGAACCAAGTCTTTTGCCGTCCGATCCAATTGTCTAACAGTTGGTATATATATATATATATTTATTTATATACATAT